GTTTGCTTATATTTTTGTCATATATTAATTATAGGTAAGCGAAATTGCCCCACCTATGATCTTGTTAAGTCTGTCTAGAAAGGTGATCAAGAAAGTACATATCAAGGCACGCATACTATTATCGAGGGCTTTTTCGCTTTTCTGGAGACTTGAGAAATCAATATAATTGGCTTCGTATAGGACATTATCCAAAGACCTGTTGGAATAAAGGCATCATAATACGTTAGGCAGAAATCAAAGGCAAGAGTTCAAGTGGACCAATACATTTACGCAACGTAGGGATCTAAAAATTAAAATCCAAAGCACGAGATAGTTCAGTAATTCAAGTAGAGGAGTATAAGGAATATGATAGTAAGTGGACATAAATTAAGCGCAAGATAAAAATTAACATCTAATTGTAGGAAAAGGTATATTCATAACATCAAAAATAATGCCTTATTTAAAGAAGACCCACCCATAGCGAAGTGAAAATAAAACCCTCATAAAGAAAAAAATAATAAGCACATCTCAGTAGTTTCAATGTTGACACAAGTAAAATCCAAAAATGGAATCGCTTAATGAAGGATCTCATCAAAAGTTCCAAAAACCGACAACAATTTGGGTGGAAATCCACTCACCTTGATATATACTAATAAGCATCCAAACGAAGAACGTCTTAAAAGTGAGGTCCCGTCCCTTAGTCAACTCCTTATAGAGCTCTGGATAGGTAAGTGCCATGCTATCGGGCAGATCTTTGTCGAGCACCAAGGAGAATACAGGGAACATAGTAAAGATGGTTGCGTAGCCGACCATCAAGATACCGGGAAACAATGGGATGGCAACAAAGTAGAAGACAGCTGAGAAGATAGCCTGCATGGCACTGATGATTACGCCTGTAACAAAAGAATCCCCGAGCGCATCATAGTTCGTGGACGGGGAAAAAAGGAACGGTAAAGGCAAGGGAGGAATGAAGAACAAAGAAAAATTCATTACGAATTTGCACTAACAGAGAAAATTATATTTACAAAAATAAGTTAAAATGTTTGATCGAGCCTAAAAGTCAAAGATCAAATACCGAGAAGACGACTTGGAGCTAACAGACAAATAAATTCCAGGACAATAGCACTGGCACAATTTAGCATTACAGCCTCAAAGCTGACTACAAAATGAGTTACATAATGCACTGTAAATAAAAGCAATGAATGAAAACTATCATCCAAAGCAGACTAACTAAAGTTATTGGGTGAAACAAAAAGATTCGCAAGAAATAAATACAATTTTTCTATTTACTTAGGACTCAAATTTATCTGAATGTTATAAACGATATCATGGTCAGCTTCTCTGCTTCGATAATTAGTGGGACCAGCTTCGATAGCATCTACAAATCCTCTATATATCACATTCTTCAGTAATAAGCCCTAGCAAAAATATAAAATAAAAATCCAACTCTATACTTGTTGATAACGTAAACTGAAAATAAACTCCATAGGATCACTGAAAATGGAATTCGCGTTGCTTGGAAGTGTATTAGTCAGTTTTGTAAGGAGAAATTCGATATGCATTAGGCATAAGGGAGTTTTACCTCAAAGTTTTTAATTTTCTACATTACACACAGGAAAATGTGTAGAGCATAGTAACTTTTTGTTGTTCAGACATATACCAATGATAGGCAAGATAAAGCTTGGTCTTAATTTTAAAAGATTTTTCCTATCGATATGATCAAGTTACAATTCCCATATCAGGTAATATTAAAGTGAGGTTTTTTGAAAGAGACATTTGTCCGTAATATCAGAAACTTCTGTCTTATGATCTGCAAGTCGAAATACATAAATAATTAAGAAATATGGCACTG